ACACTACACTCCACTACACTACACTACATTACACAACACTACAACTACACAACTACACTCCACTACAATACACTCCACTACACTCCACTACACTAAATTACACTACACTACATTACACTACACTACACTCCACTACACTACATTACACTACACTACGTTCCACTACACTTCACTACATTACACTACACTACACTCCACTACACTACAACTACAACTACAACTACGACTACACAACTACACTCCACTACACGAAATTACACTACACTACACTACATTACACTACACTACACCACATTCCACTACACTACACTACTCTGCATTCCACTACACTACAATACACTGAATGACACTGCAGCACAGATAGACAGGTAGACAGATAGACAGATAGATAGATAGATAGATAGACAGGTAGACAGCTAGACAGATAGACAGATGAAAGAGAGAGAGAGAGAGACAGAGAGAGAGAGAGAGAGAGAAAGAGAGAGAGATAGATAGATAGATAGATAGATAGATAGATAGATGGATAGATAGATAGGTAGATAGGTACATAGGTAGATAGGTAGATAGGTAGATAGGTAGATAGGTAGATAGGTAGATAGGTAGATAGGTAGATAGGTAGATAGGTAATGAGATGAAAGAGAGAAAGAGAGAGATAGATAGATCGATAGATAGATGGATACATAGAAGATAGGCTGGTAGGTAAGTAGATAGTCAGAGAAAGAGAGAGAAAGAGAGGAGACCTCAAGCACCTTTCGATCCATCAGTGGATTCGCTCTGCCATCCCTGATTCACAACAGCCAAGCTCTCCTATAGGTTTCCTATTTTTGAAACTTCCGCCACCGCCTTGTGCGGTACTATTGCTATAATATAATTTAATATAATATAATATAATGTAGTATAATATACTATAATAAAGAATAATAATATAATTCAACAGAATATAACATAACATAATAAAATATAATAAATTATAATATAATATATTAAAATATAATATAATATAAAAAATAAAATATAATATAATGTAATATAATATAATCTAGTATAATATAATATCATATATAGTAGAATACTTGCCATGTCCCCTTCTGAAATGGAATTCTTTCAACCAATCCAAAATATTACTACTACTATTACTACTACTACTACTACTACTACTACTACTACTACTACTACTCACTTGGAATCATCGCAAGGGGCCCACCTCGGAGATCACCCTCTCGCGAAGGTTGTCTGGCACCTGGGCTACACCTGGGGTCGCAAAAGTAATTTCTGGTGAACCGGGCAACATCTGCAGCAAAATTCCATGACCAATCCCCTTTTTGTCGATGAACTTCTGATCAAACATGGACTCTTACTTCCTCTCTTACTTCCTTGTCAGATTAGATTGCCAAGGGGTCTTTGGTTCGATGCCTTGTGGTTTACCAACATCTGTTGCACGGTCCAAAATTCGAAGCGGCGCCTTCCAGCATATCTGGGCTAAAGTGAGCACCGAGTGCCTCTCAGGTGCAGAAAATTTTGCTAGAAGGCAAAAAGATCAGGAGAGTATCTTAATAACTGTTTATAGTTTCTCGATGTTTCATATGTGTGTAATCTGAAAATAGATGTAAATAGTTGATTTTTGTATTTATTGTTTATGTATGTTTATGCATGTTTATGTACTTATTCTATGTTATTTTTATGTCAGTGATGTCAGCCCCTGACACTGAATTCTCCAGCCTCAACCCTTCTGTCCGTGGGCACTTTGGCCTTGTCTCTGTCCTCCCAGGGAGACTTTGTCAACACAACCTGACAATGCCCTGTTACCCAGTTATAGTTAACCAGTTATATAGCTTTTCAGTCTGGTAAATTAACAAGCTGACCCTGAAAACAACCAATTTTTAGAGGAAACTAGGTTACGCCGTGGCGGGTGGCCTGTGGGCAGCGGCGGCACTTTTGTCACTCATGGTCGCCACTTGCAAATCCTTCCCATTTCTGTACACATCTGTGTAGGTGTGAATTTGTCATTCACATTTTTGTTGCGCCTCCACACCCTTTGAAAGACTTCCTCTTTCAGGTTACTTCAACATGTTATCAACGTAGCATCAAGGACGTGGTCGTAAGAACGTTATTAGCTCACCCCACCCCACCCCATATATATATATAGAGAGAGAGAGAAAGAGAAATCCGGAAAATTCCACAAAACGCACAGGCCACCGGCCACGGCATTAGCAACTAATCTTCCAACCCCTATCTGGCGGGGTCTATGTTAATTTATGGGCGGTAATCAGTTATAGTTAATCCGTGCTAATCCCAAAGGAGTCGAGGTCAGAGCGGGTTCCCTCACAAATCGGGTATCAATGTCCAAATTCTTCGTGCTACTCGGTAAATAGAAGAGTATAAAAGGGCCCTAGAAGCCTTATTTTTTTTCACCCATCTGCCACTGATTTTGTGACATGGGTTTGAAAATCATGTTATCCCCATCACTTCGTGGCTATAGTGATGATTGGGAGTAAATCGCGAGTTACTGCCAGGATCTGCGGCGCAGGAACTCCTGTGGTGAAGGCAGTGGTGATACCTCCTCTTCGATCAAACAACTCTCAAGGGCTGTTGGGTACACGTGAGGCTCCTGAGATCCAACGTGATCAAACTGTGTGGAACCCCAAAACGCATGGCTACGTCACAGGCTGGGTTGCACCCCAAAATTTTCACAAGTTTCAAAACGAACTACGAGCTTTAAGATGATTTCAGGGACACAATTTTCAGACAAAGCCACATGTTCATGCCCTGCTGATACCTTGCTGGAACTATTTCGGATCGATGAAGTCTTGCAGCTCAGAATCTCGAGTTTCCGGGTTTGCCAGCACACAAAACCGCGAAGTGTCTCGCCAAGTGCTACCTGTCAGAAGCTCAATTCTGGCAAGCAATGGCACAAACGGATGCTGACATAGCCGGCCATTGTTTTTTATTTGAGAGAGTACTTGTTACTATATATAGTAAGGTTTTGAAATAGATTGTTATGAAAACATTGTAAAATCACCACGCATCAGATTCAACATTTTAAGGGAGTCGCAAAAAAGTTTTCATGTAGAGATTGAAAGCCAAACATTAGAGACAAACTTGCCAAAAAACCATGCGCGGTGCACATACTGCACACATCATCACATATCATTCATTTATTATCACATAGCTGAAGTACATATCTATGAGCAAATGACGCGCCCAAAATCATTGGACACGCGCAAAACCTATATATTATTCAAATTACTGCACACTGTACGCACAAATCCATATATATGTATATATCATTACAAAAAAGGTATGTATATGTGTTTTGTGCATATGTGTATGTGTGTATGTGTGTATGTGTGTATGTGTGTATGTGTGTGTATGTGTGTATGTGTGTATGTATGTGTGTATGTGTGTGTATGTGTGTATGTGTGTATGTATGTGTGTATGTGTGTGTATGTGTGTATGTGTGTATGTGTGTATGTGTGTATGTGTGTACTGTATGTATGTATGTGTGTATGTGTGTATGTGCGTGCGTATATATGTGTGTGTGTATGTGTGTATGTGCGTGCGTATATATGTGTGTGTATGTATGTGTAAGTGTATGTGTATGTGTAAGTGTATGTGTATGTGTGAATATGTGTATGTATGTGCGTATGTATGTATGTATGTGTGTATGTATGTGCGTATGTGTATGTATGTGTGTATGTATGTGCGTATGTGTATGTATGTGTGTATGTATGCATGTGTGAATGAATGGTTGAATGTATATGAATGCATATGAATGTATATGAATGCAGATGAATGTAAAGGAATGTATACAAATATGTATATATATATATATAAATGATATATATAAATATGATATATATATATATATATATTTGTATGTATGTGTATATATATAAATATGATATATATATATATATAAATGTATGTATATGTGTGTATACGCATGTAACATGTATATGTATGTATATGTATATGCATATGTATGCATTTGTATGTATATGTATGTATATGAATGTATATGAATGTATATGTATGTATGATTGTATGATTATTCATGATTATGTATGTATGATTGTGTATTATTATGTATGTATGATTATGTATTATTATGTATGCATGATTATGTGTGTATGATTATGTATGTATGATTATGTACGTATGATGTATGATTGTGTACGTATGATTGTGAATGTATGATTATGTATGATTATGTATAATTATGTATAATTATGTACATATGTATGTATGTATGTATGTATGTATGTATGACTATTATTGATTATGATTGATTATGATTGATTATGAAAGTATGATTGTGATTGATTGTGTACGTATAATTATGTCTGTATGATTATGTATGTATGACTATGTATGTAGGATTATTGATGTATGATTCTGTATGTATGTTTGCATGTATGTACTTGTATGTATGCATGCATGTATGCATGCATGTATGTATAAATATATGTATATATGTGTGATTATATGTGTGATTATATGTGTGATTATATGTGTAATTATGTATATATGATATCATCCACGTGTCTGTCCAGCCATCAACGCATTGCATGGGTGTGGATCACTCTCCAAGTCGAAACAAATCACGTCCGGCGGAAACCAGGCATTGCCTTCAAGCATCTGCCATTGCTGCGTCAAGTGTGGAGAGACTTCACAGTTTGTGGCGCCTCGGTTGCGATATGTTGCGATCCCTAATCAAAGTGAATGACTTCGACAAAATGCCGTGGATGGGTGACTGGCACAACTGTGGACACATGGCAGAAAAAACGTAGTTTTTTCAATGATCTATCACGTCAACATCTGGTTGGTGGTTTCAACCCACCAAACAAATTATTTGTTATTGGGGATCATCCTCGCATTTCTGGTTACGAAAAAAGTGAAACATACCCACCAACCAGACATTTTCAGGATCAGATCCGCTTCTGGCATGCCATGGGCTACGCGCCTCGGACGCGGCAGTTGCTGCTACCTTCTTCTCTGAAGCACCAGCGTTCCATGCCCTGTGGAACGGGAACTTTGGTCTCAAAATTGATCATTTTGCGCATGATCATTAAAGAACCCTGGGCTACTCCAAAAATTGGGCTACTCCTAAAAGTTGCTATCCTTTCAAAAAAAATCTCAAAAATTCCGGGGGGTGGGAAAAAACAAAGACAAAAAACAAAACAATCCAGCGATTCAAAAAAACTCAAAATGATAATTTAAAAAACAATTCCAAAAAATTGACAACCATTTAAAAGGAAAAATAACATCCAAAAATAACAATAAAAAAAACAACAGCAACAACAACAACAACACCAACACCAACACCACCACCACCACCAACAACCACCACCACCACCACCAACAGCAACAGCAACAGCAACAGCACCAACACCAACACCAACACCAACAACAACAACAACAACAACAGCAAGCAGTTCCACAAAATTCCCCCCCCCAAAAAAAACAAACAAACCAGTTCAAGCAAAAACACCAGAAAATAAAACAAACAAATCGAATTAAAAAAAAAACACAAACATCCAAAAATATATATTCAAAAACATTGAAAAACGCTAAAATAATCAAGATCTATATATAAAGTATTAATTAATGAAAAATAATTTTTCAGTCTGCTCCCAACCCAATCCTTGCTAAAGCAAATCCAACTCCAGCTAGCAAGCTAACCTTTCGTGATTTTGAAAGTGTTACGTCAGACTATGCTGGAGTGTGTGTGTGGGTGTGTGTGTGTGCGTGCGTGCGTGCTATAATCTCAGTGGATCCAAGGTTTTGTCTGGAAGACGTCAACTCTCTAGCTTTGGCCTCCTCTATTGGAAGGATCATGCTGGAATACAGCCAGTTTGTCTCGTTTTGGGTCCTAAGTTTTATCTGTCGGAGTTTCCCATGGTTCCCATTTCCCTGTGATTTTTGCTCGGACTTGGTTGTTGGATTGCTGTGTTTTCTGGCCCGAACATGTGGTTTCTGTAGGAAAAGGTATTGAATACAGGGTTGATGGCTGACAAGTGGCCCAGCCAGCTTTGGAGTTGCACTACATACATCCCACTTTAGCGAAATAAACCAGACAGAGATAAACCAACCACGCATCGCAAAACGTGACAATGAGCCGGAGCAATTGGTTTACCGGAAGAAAGACGGAGAAAGACAACTTTACCGGATTTTGCCGGGACTGACGCGAGAAAACCCAGACTACCATGGCTTATTCCGGAAAAAACTATGGGATTGCTAGAGAAATAATTCAGTGTTTGGATGTTTTTGGTTTGCCTGGCATGTATGTATATATAATTATATATATCATATATTATATAATATTTCTCTTTGTGTGTGAGAACTACCTGTAGAGTCAAGTAGAGTCTAGAGATATGATGTAATCGCCTTGGGCTTAAATTTATTGCCAAACGATTCGAAGAACCCTCCAGGCAACTCAACACTTGTCCGTTTTACAATTCATCAATCCCCACTGCTCCATTTGTATCCATTTGTTTGGAAGATTTGCCAACATTTACCTCCAAAAATGATCCAAACGTATAGGTCATAGGTAAATCTACCATACCTGGAGAATCAAATCCGGCTGCGGGAAAATCAATCCCATCACGCAACTCTGCCTGCTGCAAGACAGCTGCCAGCTGCCTGAGTCGAAACTGTTAACCCCTGGGCTGTTGATCATTGGCTACCATCTGGCAAATGACATCACTGTTTTGAGATGCTTTAAGATGTTTTAAGGGGTAACCCCTCGATTTTGAATGGACTTCTGGAATGTCAAAAGTCATGATGAACACTTACTGCAATCAGTTCATTTGCAAGCCCCACGCTCTGTGTTGCTGATGCACTTTGCTCACCTGACGAGTTATTCTTTTGAAAAGCAATGACAAATAATGACAAATTTGATAACATGAACTAATTAATGGCCCCATGACAACTAACAATACCAATCGATTCACAATCAGCCGATCTCAGTATACTTCACTTTCTTCCAAGGAACATGGTGCCGCCATCCTGTTTCCACATGCCAGAGCCGCAACTGATGTACTCGCCCTGGCATCATACTTCTCCAAAATGTAGAGCTAAAGATTTCTCTACTCTACTGCAAAAATGGTTTCACCTCCGACTCAAGAAGAACAAAGGGAAATTATGTCCTGCAAAAACTGTCCAAACATGTCCAAAACATTCCAAAACCATGTTTCTGGTGGATGGATGGGGGTTCACATTTTTGAAGCAAAAACCATCAACAACCCCAAAATACCATTTACACAATTTACACCCGTAAAGCTGGTTGATACACGAGCGGCCATCCTCAGCGAAATAGCACCGTCACGGACCGAGTCATTTTTGCTCCATTACGCATGTGTGTTTGGGCAGCTCCTTCAAAAAAACACCTCGATTGGGCGGGTCATGAGATGCCGAACCGTTCCATCACTGTTGTTTTGTAGGCCAGTACAAGAATGGAATTGTCCTTGATCTTACTTGCCTCATCTTGACTTTGCCCGGGCAATTAGGGCTCCGGGTGCTTGTACTGTTGTGAATCGCAGCCAAGCCCCTTGGGCAAAATGTCAGCAATTTCAACCTACAGATCCATGCGGGACTCAAAATTTCAGTTATCTTCAAACCTAAACTGCTCCCATGGTTGGGAGTCTGTGCAGCAGAAGGGTGACTGGGATCACGCATCCATCAGCCCGGCGCAGACGTGGGCGCGTCGGCAGGCTCTATCTACATGAGGATTCCGGACCCAGCCCCCCTGCGCAATGAAAGGGACAATCAGGGGTCGCTAAACGTCCCATCCAAGCATCACCTTTGGGTGCTGGGGATATCATTGCGACATATTTCGACCATCTAAGATCATTTGGTTGTTCAAAAATCACCCGAGATAGGACATCTATCAACCCGTGACTTCTCAGCAGCGTAACGGAGCCGGTAGCTCCATTTGGCTCATTCAAAAGGCGCCTTGATTTGGCTAGTTATGAGATGCCCACCCGTTCCATCACTGTCTCTTTGCTTTTCTGGTGAAGAGATTTCAGCTAAGGAATGAACCAACTGAATCAACCACCAAAGATACCAAAAGGCAACTGCAAGAATGACATTTCTCCTGATCTTACTTGCCTCATCTTGACTTGGCCACATTTTTTGATTCAAATGGAAGAGCCGGGCAACCAGGGCTCAGCTTGAGAATGCCAGGCGAGCCCCTTTGGCCAAATCTGCGAAAATTGAAACAGAAGATCCAGGCCTTCAAATTCAAATCTCTTCAAACATTCACCCTACAGCTCAGGTTAGACTTTAAAAAATGGGTTATTCTAACCTAAGTAGTTAATTTTGCCTATATGTATCTAGAGGTTGTCAAAAGAAAAGTGCTAAGTGTTAAGTGTTTTGGGTCAGTGGTTACGGTTATAGGTGATATTTATCATTTCATAAACCTCACTTGTCGGTCAATGACATGCTTAATTGATCTGATCTACACGGATTTCAAAATAGATGGCTCAACTCAAAAGCAAAAATACCCATATAAGATGGCACCGCGCGGTGAGGAAGAAAACGGCGCTATTAAGCTGGAAGATAAAACGAGTTCCGCCAATTTCAATGGCCATTTCAGGAACCTAAATTGGAGGTACCTACCATATATGAGGCCTATATAAGGCCTATGTAAGGGAATATCCCCACAAAATATGGCCTTATATGGTACAGTACCTCCAATTTAGGATCCTGGAATTCCCAGTGACAATTGAAGAAAAAAAATCGCCCTACTCTACAATGAAAAGGTATATGGCACAACTGCCACTCCAGTAGATGGACATACGGGTATTGTTAACTAAGTTTACTACATGTCGGATCATTTTTGCTTATTTATACTGTAGATTACACATGTTTGTATTCCATAAATATATATATATATAATTCCACTAGATTCTTTTATCACAAATTTGAGCGCCATCTATGTCCCTTAAATCCCATTCAAACGTCAAACGCCAGAAAAAAAAATGATGGGTTCAAAAAGGAATTGCGCCATCTATGTCCCTTAAATCGCATTCAAATCTTTTAAAATTTCATTGCGATACCTTGCAAATGAACCACTGAATGTTTTAAAACTGATTGTGGACAGAATTTATGGATAGAAATATCATTTTTCAACATATTTTGACAACCATATTTTGAAAAAAACAACTTTTAAAATTTCATTGCAATACCTTGAAAATGAATTGCGCCATCTATGTCCCTTAAATCCCATTCAAACGCCGGAAAAAAAATCGATGGGTTCAAAAATGAATTGCGCCATCTATGTCCCTTAAATCGCATTCAAATCTTTTAAAATTCATTGCGATACCTTGCAAATGAACCACAGAATGTTTTAAAACTGATTGTGGACAGAATTTATGGATAGAAATCTCATTTTTCAACATATTTTGACAAACATATTTTGAAAAAAAAAAACTTAAATTTTCATTTTGCAATGCCTTGAAAATGAACCACTGAATGTTTTAAAACTGATTGTGGACATAATTTATGGATAGAAATCTCATTTTCAACATATTTTGACAACCATATTTTGAAAAAAACTGTTAAAATTTCATTGCAATACCTTGAAAACGAACCACTGAATGGTTTAAAATTGATTGTGGACATATGTAATTTATTGATAGAAATCACTTTTTTAAAAAATATCGAACTATCAAGCACATATGCACAATTTCAAAATGTCAATATTTCACAATTTCGCAGTGTGTTCTTATTTACCCACCATGAACGTGACATTTCTCATTTTCCATCATTTTCCCGTTGCTGTTCTCCCCGTTGTCCCCGTGGAAAACTTCGTTGTGTTCCCCGGATTCTGGACCCGGAGGGCCTGTCAAAGGCAAAATGCAGGGGATAGATGGGGATAGATCTCCCATTGAAAACAGGTCAGTTGCGCCATCTATGTCCCTAAAAATGACATATTTTGTGCAATCTCGCTGGTTTGCACCCATATTTTTTTCCTCAATATCAAGCTGCCTTTTTGGGACATAGATGGCGCAACTCCCACTCATTCGCCAAAATCAGGCTGATGTTGAGTCATCTATGGGAGATCTATGTCCCAAAAAGGCAGCTTGATATTGAGGAAAAAAATATGGGTGCAAACCAGCGAGATTGCACAAAATATGTCATTTTTAGGGACATAGATGGCGCAACTGACCTGTTTTGAATGGGACTTGAGCCATCTATCCCCTGCATTTTGCCTTTGACATAGATGGCTCAGCTCAAGAATTTGAGCAATCTATTTTGAAATGTGAGTAATACTTTTGGGGTCAATGATATGATTATAGTTTGAAATGTACAGGTCAATGAAAGGACGGACCTTGAACTATTCTAGGTTAATGCTATGATTACAACTTTGCAGTGTTTCGATTTTTACTTGAGAGATTCACTGGGGCCCTGTTCGTATGATTTGTTGATTAATTATTTGAACCAGCCATCTACCAATGCCATCTGCATGTTTGGTTTCATAATCTAGTTTTTTCGCTTGGTTTCTTGCGCCTGCTTCTGTTTTCGCATAATTTGCCATGGTTTCCAGGGCGGCACACAAAAAAAAAATGAGTCGTGCAAACAAAAAAAAAAACATGTGTAATCTGTGGAGCTCACACCTTCCCAGTAAGTTTTTCCTCACAAGTTCCGCTTTCTACAAGTGACCCAGTAGCTACGGAAAAGTTGCACAAATAGCTATATAGTGTTTCCTTTGTACTCTTCTGTTTGGGAAAGAGGGCTCGCCATGTTTCTTTCTGCAGGGGGGAACATGTTTAACAAAAAATCCACTGAAATAATATGGTTCAATCCCATTTGGGAAAAAGTTGAAAACTGTCACTGTAACCCCAAGCAATTTCCGTTGTGGAAATTAAACTGTTTCCAGTGGGAAACCACACCACTTTAAGTGTTGGGACCCCAAACAAATGAACGCGCCCTTCTTTACGGGGGGAATATCAGTCAATTATTTTTTGGAACCTTTTAAATTTTGGGTCCTGGGTTTAAAACCTCCAAACAATCCAAAGGCTTTATTTCCAGGCCTTTCTGCCACCTGCACTCCCAATTTCCACGTGTTGCGCCCCAAAAACTGAAGCTGCCAGGACCATGGCGCCCATTTCTACTATTCCCATGACTTTTCTTGCTTCCAAAAAGAAAGAGCCAAGTATTGCAAAGGACTCTCATTTACTATTTCCTCAGCCAGGTGAGGGTCTCCAGATTTTAACAAAGGTGTGACTCACTCACTCGTCTGCCACGCCTGGACCCAAACTCTGTATCGCGAGTGGGCCACGCCATGAAAATACAAAAAAAATGGTAGGTCCAGGGGGTGAGCAATAAATTTATATATATATATATTTCCATGTGTATATATATATATAGCCATGTATATATATATATATATAGTGTATATATATAGTATATATATATATATAGTGTATATATATATAAATAGTATATATATATATATAGTATATATATATATACATAGTATATATATATACGTATCCATATCCATATAGCTATGTAGATATATAATGTGTAGCAATACTTGGCAAGCATGTCTTTTGTAACCAAGCAATTATCTGACATTGTTTGAATTTGTTAGGTTCTCAATGTTCTCAATAAACTTCCTTTGAGGCAAACAACCACTCCCAACTTTCAGTCAAAAATAGTTCGACCGGTTTTGCCTATTCTATAGGGAAATTTGGTCGACATATTTCTGGGTGTTTTGAAAGTTTTGACTTCGACGAACGTCAAAGAGGTTTTTGGAAATCTTGCGCGTTACCATGCTGGATTTTGTAAGCAATGAGTCTGCAATAGATTCATACAAATGTCATTTCTATGAGAATAGAAAAGTGCAACACCAAAAGCGCATGTAATATATTGCATGAAAAGCCAACCACCACCGACCACCACCATGGAATCAAACAGAGAAAATTCAACACACCTCTGAAGCAACACAAAACTCTGGGGTGGATACTCCCAACGACAACATTCGAACCTTTACTTGGCAACCTTGACGTTTGTAAGCGCCAAGGCCTTCACCATGTGCAAA